GGCATACAACATGCAGATCAACTACCCATACACAGGTAATAATTGTTATGAAAGGCCAACCTACAGAAATTTGAAAGAGACAAAGAAACAAGGAGATGCAGTAGGAAAGGAAGACATTTAATTCACCGTTTCCAAAAAGAGTGATTGTTTATGAAACCGACCTGAAGATACCACTAGAAACCTTTGTACACGACAAATACCTTAGCAATACTCAAGAATAAAGAATTACCATACATAGAGCACCAGTTCATTATATACCAATAACGAGCAGGTTGAGAGACAAATTAGGATATCCCATCTCGGTAGCCTCAAAAACTTTCAGAGCGCCTCAAAAACCTCATTTACTGTGTTAATAATCCTCGGCCATGAGGGAATTACAAACCTGAACACAACTGACATTCCACTTCACTAGAATGGCTAACGTGAAGAAATAAACTGGTGTGGTAGTTAACAGCACGCACTGCTTTCCCAGACTGCCTGAGTTAGAGTTCCAGCACCAACACGTGGGCTCACAATAATCCGTAACTATTCTCCCAGGGAATCCAACACCCTTCTGACCTCCACAAGCACCAGGCACGCAAACATACCTACTGCCAAAACAAATGTATACCTAAACTAACAAAAACAAGTGAATACAATGAAGGCTCGAAGGGCAGAAACTGTGGAGGCAAGTGTAACCGAAATTCGCTGCTAGTCTTGTCCACATACTGATTTTCACAACAATGACAGCTACATAATCACCCCCCCTCAAAAATTATAAACAATCAGTATGACCAAATGCCCAGGAATGAGTTTAAGGAAATGGCAACGTGAGTCATTATTCTAACTCATGTTGGAAATCCAAACTACTGCCAAGAGCAGAAATCACTTCTGAGGTTACAGGAACCGCCAAAATGAACTACCATAGTACCCTGCAGTGGTGAGGGATACAGACTTTCAACATGTGTAGATCTCTCAGTGTAAGACTGTAAAGATCTAGACTGCAACAGGAGGAACATGATCACGTTGATATATCCATAAACACCTAAGGGAAATTTTCACATCTGCTCACTATCAAAGATTTAAAGAATCTGGAAATACGAAACATACCTAAGCAGACTAAACACCAGAAGCCACAAACCTAGACCTAAACCCCACATTTCACTAAATGAGGAAAACTGGAAGGAGTCCAATCTCCTCAGGACAGTGACAAGGGTGTCCACACTTTCTCAGCATGGTGCATCTATTGTTATCTAGAAGAAGAAAGGGTTTTTTTAAAAAAAAAATCTCAATTTAAAGGAGTTAACAAAGGTCAAACAGCAACTTATTCCAAATTGTAAAAAATATGACTTTTTTTGGAGGGATGGGAGGTTAAGACAGGATTTCTCTGTGTAGTTTTGGCTGTCCTGGAATTTACTATGAAGACCAGGCTGGCCTTAAACTCACAGAGATCTGCCTGCCTCTGCTTCCTGAGTGCTGGGATTAAAGGCCTGTGGCACTACCTCCTGGCAAGAAATACAATTCTCAACTTCAAAAACTATAAGAGAAAGCTCAGATATAATAATCTTTTAATTATACCATTAAAACCTACACTCTAATAGATGAGGGTAAGAAAATAGCAGACCACTAAAACCTCCATAATATCTAAAAAATATCTCAGATACCCCAATGGTAGCTATAGCAACAAAAGGTGCAGTATAAGCTAGTACCTTACCCAGTGGGCTGGAGAGATGGCTCAGAGGTTAAAAGCATTGTCTGCTGTTCCAGAGGTCCTGAGTTCAAGTCCCAGCTCACAACCATCAATACTGGGATCTGATACCCTTTTCTGGCATGCAGGCATACATGCAGATAGAGCACTCATATACGTAAAATAAAGAAATAGATCTTTACAGAAATAATCACCTTACCCAGATGTGGGCTACCTGTACGATGCTACCCACCTGTATGCTAATCTCCTTATGTAGACGGGCAGATTAAAGCTACCAGAACAGATCAGCAACTGCCTGCTCAGCGCCCTTCCGTGTCCTACTGTCTGCCACCAATATCCTGTCCTTGAACTTCAGCACCTTATGTGACTTCTGGCGTATTTAGCCCCTTAGAAAAATTTCTGCATTTGAGGCTCTTCAGCAAATGCTGTTAAACTAACTTAAGATGGCCAGTCAAAACCCGTGTCACTCTGGATTGCTGGTTTGGAAACACACAGGGCGACAGAAGGAACTGAATTTGGCATTCAGATTTTAGACACACACCAGCTGATCCCGTGTGTGTCAAGACTGCACGGTGCAGCTGCCTCCTGGTTCATAGCTTGATGGTTACTTCCTTTGGGTTCCTAAGACTGGGAGGGTAATAAGCCACAGGAGGAAACACACTCATGACATTTTGTTGCACATACAAATACTCAAATTACCTTTACAAAATTCTGTTCACAACACAGCCTGGTGCTGCTTTCAACCTATGTCAGAGAACCTTTTTATGCAATGGGCAACAGTTACTCCAGGGACGCTTAACTGACCACATACGGAGAAAAAAGAGTGGCTGCTGACTGAACAGCCATGAAGAGAAAATCCTTATGATCTGGTTCAAGTCCCAAGGATCAGGACAAAGAGGGGACAAAGACCGTTAAAGCAGAAGGATCGGAAAGTTACCTATAAAATACAAAATACACTGAATAACATTCAGAAAAATAGAAAACTAAATGTACATAGCAGCACAAAGAACCTGAGCACAACCCTAGGTACACAGAGCAGAGCCGGAATTATCCCAGCCGTGATTCCAGGTGACACTTTAGAGCAACAGGGCCTACAGAACATGGGAGTGGCAGAAAAGCAGAAACAGCTCAAGGTAGAGCAACAGATACAGTCAGTGCGACAGAAATGAGCTCTTTCAAAACAAGCCAACTTCACCACACAATAGTGATGGAAAAGTATCTGCAGACAGAAAATATGCAGCTGGGTCTGATTCTCTCCCACTGTATAATGAACCACAGACCTTCATGGATGAGCTGAAACCCTGAAACTGACTAAAAGGTTGCATGCTATAAAAAGTGGCCACTGGGGTCAGAAAAGGCATCAGAGCCCAGAACCAGTTATTGATGGCTGTCAGGCACCATGTGGGTGCTGAGACTGAACCCATGTCCTCTTCAGAGCAGGAAGGGCAAAAGCATTAAATGGCAACCCCTGTTCCCCATTCCATTTCAGTGTCACTTGAACCTCTCACCACCCCTAACTCAATCCTTCCAAAATAACTGGTACATCTGCTTCTGCCTCCTTCCTCTCCACCTTCCAGGGAGCTTCAAAAGTGAGCAGATCTGGCTTATCAGTGAGCCCTACACAACGGGAAAGAGATTCTTCAGAAAGCTCCTGGATTTCTAACACAGTTCTATGCTCAGTAGATAACATTATCTACAAATGATTTCCCAAATGTCATGCAGTGTCTGAATACTGAAAATACTTGGGGAACAGTTCAGTCAGCGTAACTGGAGTCCAACAACTTCTACTCACAGCTCCATCAAAACAAAAGGGCAGAAATGGAACGGAATGATTGGGATGACAGTATTTTACACCATGGTGTTTCTGAATTTGTCAAGGGACAAATTGAAAGAAGCCTTAAAACAGCCAAAAGAACACTCACTCACAGAAGGCTCACACACTCACAGAAGGCTCACACACTCACACAGTAGTTTTCCTAGGAACCCTGAGAAGCAGACTGTTCTCACCCACAGCAGACAGAATGCTGCAACTCTGCAACATCCAATCTCTGTACAAAGCCAGCTGAGCAGGGCCCAGGCATCCCCGCTCCTCCTCCTGAGAGGCGTCCAGTCACAGCGCTGGCCAGCAACAAATGCTGAAATTAAAAAATAAAGGAGTGCTTAAGCCATTTGGGTTTCTACACTGCTTTAATCCCAGCACTCAGAAGGTAGAAGCAGGCAGATAACCCATGTGAAACCAGCCTGGTATGCCTGGTGGGTTCTTAGCCAGACAGGGCAGAATTGAGACACTTATTCAATAAAACAAAGCCAAAACCAAAGCAAACAGTGCCAACTGGGCAATGGGTCCATGAGAAGTGTGCTTTTCTTGGAACAGGAAGAGAAATTATTTTCTCATATACTTGAGTGATCTGAAATATTTAAGAGATTTTTTTTGTCCTAATCTAGTGCTTTATAGCTGTAAAAAAAAATGTATCCTGCTTTTCTCACGGCATGCATACAAAATTAAACATATAAAAACATATTTCTGCATTTACATCCTAGTATGCTTACATCTCAGAGGGAAGATAAACGGGGACTTAAAAGTTTGCTTAGGGAGCTCCACTGTTAAGGGAACTGGCTGCTCTTCCAAAGGATGCGGGTTCAAATCCCAACACCCACATGGCAGCTCACAGCTGTCTGCAATTCCAGGGGATCTGACACCCTCACACAGACATACATGGAAGCAGAACACCAATGTAAGAAAAATAAAAGTTTTCAAAAAGCTTGCTTAGTAAATGTTAATGCTCACAGCCATAACTTTAAAGCTTGCTAAATACACTTTCTGTATTTCACACCTGCAGTGGACTAGTGTCTAAAAAGTACTGTGGAGATGCTTAGCCCCCAGGGGCGAACGCCACTCTCTTGATTAGGAAAGCAGTAAAGCTAGAAAGCGCAGCTGAACTTAAATTCCAGGGGACTTGCAATTGCTACAATGGCAAAGGACAGATAATGCAAGTCCTCCAGGAGATACTGTTCCGTAAATATACTGGCAACCGCAGATGAATGAAAACAAAACATGAAGCCCAGTTCACAGGATGTGAAATTTATCGACCAGGCACAGCAGCTTCAAGGCCAGCTTGTTTATGAGCAGCAGAGAAACCGACCACAGGCAGGTCCAGTCCCCTCTTGCTACCAGCCGGCAGCGACTCCGACCGGGGAAGAGTCCCGAGCCGCGCTGAAGCTCCCGCCACTGCGCTGCTGCCTCTCCCAGGCCCTACCTGTCCCTTAGGGGAGTTTTCACAAACCCCGAGAACCCAACCTGCGCCCTCCGCACCTCCGGCTCAGAAGGGGGAGGCTTCCCAGGTCCCAGAGGGAATGGCGGGCGTCGGAACTCCTTCTTCCTTCCGTTCCTCGTGCCTCCTCTGCCCCCACCCATCACATACCTGTTCGGGTCACGTGCCCTCCAACTCCCTCCCACCCACTTCCTCTGCCCCACTCAGATTCCCATCCTTCTTGCTGTTTCTGGATCTGAAAACAGCAAACGACCGTTGCCCACTCGCCAGCGACGTTCCTGGTTCGTTCCTCCCCTCCTTCTGTGGCTTGTGGGAGATCCCGCTGCTTCGGGAAGATTTCCTTTTCGCAGGCACGTTAGCCTGCTCTGTTCAGCAAGCTTGACACCGACAATCAAAATTTGTCACTCGGACTTGGTATAGGACAGGAAATCAACCTGGGCATAAAAAGCTGTAACTGAACTCGGGATCAGCTTTGGACTGAGGTCAGATGAGCTTGCCTGCGGCAAGAGTAATGTCACTGTGGTCCTCAAGGCCGTAAGGACAGTCAGACTCCTTACTCTGCCCCTCCCTGTGGCAGGTTCCTGCTTACGTGAACTTGCCATTTGCCCAGAGGTTCCAGAGATGTATCTCAGAGGAAGTGGCTGCAGCCTGAGACTAAGGAACGAAACCAGTCCCCAACTCTTCCCTCATGCGCAGGAGGGAAATGTGTAAAGCTGTGTCATGAAAATCTTCGAAATAGGGTATTCATAAGATTATGATACTACCCCGAATCCAGACATTCTCAGAATGCCCTTATTCTGTGTGGGCTGGCCTTCCAGGTGACACAATCTCTCTCTCTCTCTCTCTCTCTCTGTATCTCTGTATCTCTCTTTCGCTTGCTCTTTTGGCCCGGCTAAAAGCCCTTAACACACAACAGTAGCAACAAAAAGGAACTTAGATGTTCTTAACAACCAGAAATAATGATTGGATTCAAACTCAAGGTCCAAACTACCACACAAAACACCTCAAAAATAAGCAAATATTAAAGAAAAAAACATGAATGTATAAAAAGCAGAAATAAAATGATGTATATATCAGTGTTTTCCCGGCATGCACTATTTTTTTCTCACACTTGTGCCTAGTGCCACAGGAAGCAGGAAGGCATCATAGCCGTGGATCTTGGGGCTGAACCTTCCCTGGAAACCACCTTCTCTTGATGGAAGTGGTCTCTGCATTCCCCAGCACAGGTCTCTCCGCTGCCAGTCCGCTTCCTTCTCTTCCCTGAGACTTCACTGAATCCGGTGTTTGCTCACAACATCACCAGCTTGTCAGTGTCATTCCTTTACAAGATTATAATAGGTGTCTGTAAGGACACTGTCACCACGCGGGAGCTACACCACATCTACCAGATTAAAGTTACTGAACACCCAAATTTGCTAAAGCGTCTCAACGGATTTCTCAAGACAAGAGAGCAGGGAAGGAGATGGTGAAAGGAAATAACTGTGAACCATAGAGTACCCAGAAACACTGGCTGTTAAAATTCATAGAGAAGGAAGTTCACTTGAAGAAGGCTATGAAATACCTCAAGTCATGCACTCAGGCAGCACCGCAGAACATAATCAGAGGAACAGATTAAATAGATGAGAGCTGGGAATAACAGACCATGTCCATCACACAAAACCAGCAAACCACTAATTCTTTTTTATTATTTTTAATTAATTGCAGTTTATTAACTTTGTATCCCAGCTGTAGTCCCCTCCCTCATCCCCTCCCAATTCTGCCCTCCCTCCCTCATCTCCTCCTATGCCCCTCCCCAAATTCACTGATAGGGGAGGTCCTTCTCCTCTTCCATCTGACCCTAGCCTATCAGGTCTCATCAGGAGTGGCTGCATTGTCTTCCTCTGTGGCCTGATAAGGCTGCTCCCCACCCCCCTATGCCCCCCCCCCGTCTTAGGGGAGGTGATCAAAGAGCCAGCCATTGAGTTCATGTCAGAGACAGTCCCTTTTCCCATTATTAGGGAACCCACTTGGACACTGAGCTGCCATGGGTTACATCTGTGCAGGGGTTCTAGGTTATCTCCATGAATGGTCTTTGGTCTCAGAAATGACCCCTTTGCCCAGATATTTTGGTTTTGTTGCTCAACTTGTGGATTTCCTGTCCCCTCGCAATTCTAGTTAGGATTAGTGGTAATTTTACCCACCAGAATATTAAAAACAAAAAGTAACAAATGAAAACCCTGTGATATGAAAATCTCAGTAAAAATGGAAATGTCATGAGATGAACTTCAACAAGATCTTGTGATAAACTCCTCAAGGAAGTAGGAGGGACTAGAGCATGGCTCTAAAGGGCACATGTGTCACACCGAGGGCAATAGTACAGGAATAGTGTTAGCAGGAACACCTTAAGAAGAGAAGACACATGAGATTAAATCTCTCCAGTCTTATTTAACACAGGGCCAGGAGAGTAAGCTAGATGAGGCTGAATGAGACAAAGGATAAAAGGAGATACAGGTGGGTCAGAAAAGCACCAAATTCCTTTCTAATGACGATGTGATGACACTCAAAACTCCGAGACACCGAAGGAAAATCTTCGACTTAATAAGTGCTTTAAGTATAACTGAAAAATATAACACACACACACACTAGTTTCCCTATAGACCAATAATAACAATTTGAGAAGTAAATTAGAAATTTAACTCTTTCAGTTTCCTTCAAAAGAAAGTAAGTAATGATGACTTCACTTCTGTGAGGAAAATTTTAAGGTACCCAGAAAAAAAAATAAAAATAAAAATAAGAGTACACATGGAAATGAACTGCCACACACGCTAACTAACAAATGACATGGTGAAATGGTTATATTACTAACAGCAATCAATAGAATCAATGCAATCTACACCAGCAAAATAGATATGAAACAGTCACATGGACACGAGGAAATCACACACATGGAAATTAACCCCAAGAGAGACTATTCCTGGGGCTATTACAGGACCTGACCACATGACATAATACAGAAGGACAAGGTCAAAGACAGAATGGTCCTGCACATGAAGAAACATGTAGAAAATGGAACAGAACAGAGAACCTAGAAATAAACACACAGCAGAGAGGCAATGAGAGCCAAATATATCAAAGACAAATCCCCCCAAAAGACACCCTTCGAACATTCTGTACTAGAAAAATGATTGTGCAGAAGAGTGACACAAGATCCATATCTCTCATCGTACACAGAAAACAATACAAAGTAGACCAAGGAACTTCCTGGAAAAGTTGAAGTGCTAGAGGAAAATATGATTAAATGCTTAATAATTCAAAATATACAGCACTGTCTGAAGGAGGTTCCAGGAGCACAGAAGTTGCCCAGGAAAGAACGATACAGGAAATTCATGGAGTACAAAGCTGCAAAGGTCTGAGAAGCACACAAAGAGTGAACAGCAGCGAAGAGAGTGAAATAAATACTAAGGGTTTCTCCACGCTGGGGGTTAAGAGCCGCTTAATGTAAACACAAGCAGTCCAAACTACCGGATACAAAATTGACGTATTTCAAAAATGGGACACAGAGTTCATTCACAAAACAAGCACCCACCCAAAGCCAAAGCATATACATACCAACTTTTTAATTCTTGAAACACTTTTTATATTTTATGTAGTGATGTGTGGGCCTGCATGTCTAAATGCGGGTCACGTGAGTGCCTGGTGCTAACAGAGGACGACAAGAGAGAATCTGATCCCCAGACACAGAGTAACAGACAGTTGTGAGCCATCAGGCACAGCCTGGGAAGCAAGCCGTGCCCTCGGAAAGAACAACAATGCTCTTAATGGCTGAGCCAGCTCTACAACTAGCTAAAAAAAATGTTTTTACATGCTTGAGACCCTTAGTCACAAGATTACAAATTCAAAACCAACTCTTAGTACTTCTCACCCTGGTCAGAATGGCTAAAATTAAGAAAACCAACGGGGAAGCCAGGTATAGTGAGAAAAAAAAATTTTTTTTCCAGACAGGGTTTTTCTATGTAGCCCTGGCTGTCCTGGAACTTGCTCTGTAGACTGCAGACCAAGCTGGTCTCAAACTCACAAAGATCCACCTGCCTTTGCCTCCTAAGTGCTTAGAAATATTTTTAATTCCTCCTCTCCAGAGGCAGAGGCAGGAGCAGGTGAATCTGTGACTCCATTCCAGCCTGGTCTACATAGCCAGTTGCAGGACAACTAGAACTACGCAATGAGGTCCGGTTTCAAAAAAAACAAGAAAAAAGAAAATGGAGTGCAACAAACGCAGGTGAGGGTATGGGAAAGGAGGATCCTTAGTCACCCCTGCTGAGGAGATCAACTGGTCCGAAACAGTAACTCCACTCTGGAGGTTTTTAAAAACCAAAACTTTAAATCACAAGTTTGCCCAGCATAGGAAAACTGAGTCCTTGCTCACAGCTCCTAAATTCTCCCACGGACAGCTTGCACACAGAGGCAACTGCTGTGCTAGTACCCAGAGTTAAGAAATAGAAACAGCTGGTTGTGGTGGCATACGCCTTTAATCCCAGCACTCAGGGAGGCAGAGGCGTTGACTACATTAGTTCAGGAAGTTTGTCCTTGGTGGAGTTAAGTATGCAGCTGGAGAGGATACTTAAAAAACTGCCCACTGGTCCCAGTTCAGTCTCCGCTTCCTGCTTAAAGACTGAGTTCTCGAGAGCTTCCACCTGGTCCTGTTGCCACATCTCCTGTCACTTTCTGTGATTTCCTGCCATGATAGACAGTTTCCCCCTGGAACTCTAACCCTAAATAAACCCTTTTTCCCATAAAGTGAGTGACTTTGGCATCCTCTCAGGTTATCAATAAAATAGTAATCAATAATTTATGAAAAACTCAGACAATATTTTATGCCTTCCTAATCAATCCTAAAGAAACACTCTACAATTGGTTTTACCTAATTACATGTGTCTCATGATACAGAAGTCAATAAAACCATCACTAACATTATCAACGAAGTTAAGGAGTTTAACAAAGGCACAAAGGTACAGCCCAAAGAACACAGAGAGAAAGATCTCAAACACCAGAGGTGTGCTCAAGAACACACATAAATAAAGCTAAATGAAATGTCAAAGACAGTTCATAATTTGAAAACCAAATTTAATATAGATGTAAAA